TTTTTTTTTGAGACAGAGTCTTGCTATGCAGTTTATACAGGCCGGTCTTCAATTCATGGCCAGGGTCTCACTAAGTCATTAAGTTGCCCAAGATAGGGCCTGGTCTGGAATTTTCTGGCCTCAGCTTCACACTGTGCTGGGATTTTAGGTGTACCCCACCATACGCAGCTTCAAAAATAATATTTAGGGGTCGGGGATATAGCTCAGTGGCACAAGCGCCTGCCTGGCAAGTGCAAGGTCCTGAGTTTGATTCCCAGTACCAAAAAAAAAAAAAAATTTAGTTGATCAAAGTCATCTTTATTTTATTTATTGATCCCCCCAACTCCCGTACCGGGAATCAAACTCATGACCTTGTGCTTGCCAGGCAGGCGCTGTGTCACTGAGCTAAATTCCCAGCCCCTTATTTATTGATTTTTATCTAGGCTAATGTTAAGTGAAAAAAAGTTAAGCTCACAGCTTTTTTCTCACAGTTTTTAATTTTTTTCCCCGGTATATTTCAGTTGATGGAGGCCAAAAGGTAGTTCTACAGTGTGCTAGTGGGCTGAGGAGTATAAACATTTATGTTTAAAATTTCAGCTGGGCATGGTGCACATGCTTGTAGTCCTGGCACTCTGGGAGGTTGAAAAAAGAGCATCTCAAGTTTGAGTCCAGTCAGCACAACTTTTTAGCAATACCTTGCCTTCTTTCTTTTTTTTTTTCCCAGTACCAGGGATTGAACTCATGACCTTGCACTTGCCAGGCAGGCACTGTGCCACTGAGCTAAATCTCCAGCCCCCCCTTGCCTTAAACTAACGTGTAAAAAAGGGCTTAGAATGTAACTCAGTACAGAGGCCCTGTGTTTAATCCCTAGAACCACACACACAAATTCGACTAGCACAATGACATACGTACTGTGTCTGTAATTCCAGCATTTGGGAGGCCGTGGCAAGATGAATTTATTTATTTATTTATTTATTTCTTCCTTCAGTACTGGGAATCAAACTCACAACCTTGTACTTGCCAGGCAGGCTCTGTGCCACTGAGCTAAATCCCCAGCCCCTAAGATGAATTCACATTAGAGGCCAGTGTGAGTGGAAAGTGAGGCTTCATCTAAAATAATAATAATAATATATAAGATTATATATAGAAAGCGGGAATATAGCTCAGTGATAGAGCACACGCTTTATATGTACAAAGTTCTAGGTTCAATCCGAGTACTTAAAAATAAAATTCATGATGTGTAGGTCATCAATAATTTGTAATTCACATCACTCTTCTTTTTTTTTTGTCTTTTTTGAGACAGGGTCTCACTATATAGTTCAGGCTGGCCTTGAGCTCTCTTTGTAGTCTAAGCTGGTCTCGAAATTGGAATGATCCTCCTGCCTCAGCCTCCCAAGTGCTGGGATTACAGGTGCGCCTCCATGCCAGGCTGGATGTCTTTTTTTATATGTGAATTGGGGGATGTTAGGCCTTGCACCTGTGGCCTTATGGATTGATGCTGGGGTAGGCAAGCATTCTGCCACTTACTTTAAGGTTTTTTGTTTTTTTTTTTTGAGCTAAGAATCCAACTCAGGACCTTGTACTTATCAGGTAGGCTGTGTACCAGTGAGCTATATCCCCAGCCCCTGACTTTAGTGTCTATAAATGAAAACTACGCTTTTGGTTTTTTGTTGTTTTGAGAGAGGATCTCACTATGCAGTTTGGTCTGGCCCTGAACTCCAGGTAATCCTCCTACCTCAGCCTTTGGAGCACTGTACAGTTATGCATCACTACACTTGGTATAAACTTTAGTTTTTGTAAATGAAATTAGTATCACAGGAGCTAAAGCTTGCTCTGTCTGTCTGTCTGATACTGAGGATGGTAGCCAGAGTCTCTACTGCTGAGCTGTATTTCTAGTTTTGTTTTTTTTTTAAATTCTGACAGTGTGGACAGGGTCTCACTAAATTGCCCAGGAAGGCCTTTAATGTTTCATCCTCCTGCTTCAACCCTCCAGAACAGTTGAGATTAGGTTATGCCTTCACACCCAGCAAAGCTCACTAAAGCTTTTGTTTATTTGTTTGATAGGGGTTCTCACTACTGTACGTAGTTCAGGTTGGTTTTTTTTTTTTTTTTCAGGTTGGTTTTGAACTCATTATGTCCTCAGGATAGCTTTAAATTTGAGGCAGGGCCAGGGATATAGCTCAGCGGCACAAGCGCTTGCCTGGCAAGCACAAGGTCCTGAATTTGATTTCTGGTACCAAAAAAAAAAAATTTGAGGCAATCCTTCTACCTCAGCCTCCTGAATGCTGGAATTACAGGTTTGCATTTGTTTCTGAATGCATTTTCTTTTAGGGGAGATGATGATAAGTCAAATTATTTTTTCCTGTTCTGTTTCAGAAAAATCTGAGATGGTACCAGGCTGCCCCTTTATCCATATCATCCGGAAGGATGTAGATGTTTATTCTAAAATTTTGAGAAAACTGTTCAATGAGTCACATGGAATCTTTGTGGGCCTTCAGAGAATTGAAGAAGAATTGACTGGAAAATCCAGAAAAGCTCAGTAAGTTGGCTACTTTAGATGCTAACGTCTACAACTAAACTGTGAAAAACCAAATGCATTCTTTTGTTTTGTTTT